AAGACAAAAGCCTTGCTGCTGTTCTTCACACATTGGCTAAAACTGGTGGCCTCTGTGGGTTTCCATGCCACAGCAGTAATAAAATGACAGTTCTTCAATGCCAGCTTCTTCTTTTCTTATTTCAAAATAATATAATAGAATCATTCAGTGTTATCACAATTACTGTCTAATAAATAATGACTCCAGATACTTACAAGTTTTACTTTTATTTGTGAAGGAGGAAAGTTAGTTGTATTTTCCTAACAAGTAGTAAACATGCAATAAAAATTCCCACACTTAGTCCAATATACCTGAGAAGGGATATAATAGATACAAGAAATTACCATCAGGGGAAATAGGAATATGAGAAAAGAAGATAAGCAACATTTCTACTAGCCATTAAATAAGGGACATTTTCTTCCCTGAGGAAACATAATATTTTTTTTGCAATTTGCTGCAATGAAAATGAATTATATACATAGTGAACAGGAACATATGGATTTCCTCCCTATTGTTTTTTCATGCTTCATTTATGATAGTTGCTTTCAATGAAAATGCCAAAAGTTATAAATCAAATATTTCTCTTAAATAGAACATCCTTTTCAAACATATTTGCATGCCAAATGCTTTTTTTTTCAACTGCTACCTTGATAAAAATGTTTTTTTTTAAAAAAAATATTGTTTCTTCAGCAAAATATTTAAAGCTATGGTCATTCCCTGCAAGGTGATGAATAAGGATAAATGGATTACCATATTTTAAATCAACTATAATGATACAATGGTATTATTAACCATGTGAGTCAAGCTTAAGCAGCTTTGTATAAACAACCTTGCTATATTGATCTATACTGTGCCTAGCTATCTTTTAGGTTTCTATGATTTATAGTACGTGTATAAAATGAGGTAGAGGGATAAGGGCTATTACAAAGGAAGTTGCAAAATATGCTACATGCAACACAAAACCCTAAACATCACACTAGTAATAACAGTTGACTGGAACAGAGTAGCAGAGTTACTCTGTGCAGATGTTAGTATATTGACTTTCTTTCAGTATGATGTAGGAATGTCATTTAGGTCATTGATTATCAAGTTATAGTTTTAGAAATTCTGTTAGCCTGATGAATTGTGTTGTTTATGTGGGGAATAAAAAAGGCAATATGTTCTGGGAATCTATTATATGATGCTGGTAAAGCCAATAATGGGAAGAGGGTGCCAAATCATTGTGGTAAATTACAGTAATTGTTTGAAATCGCGAAGGCACCCTATATTGCCAAAATCTCATTTGCTGCAGCTCAGTGACCAAATATGACACTGTATATGTCTTTATCTTTAAAATTAACCAAAATAATTGGCATTGTTCTTACAATGGCTAATTAAAATTGCATCCTAATTAAAACAACAGGGTGATTTAAATTAAACATTCTGCATTTTTGTCAAATAAATGAACTGGTGCATATTTTCCAGGGAATAAGAAATGTTATACTTTCTGAGTAAACATTGTGATTTTGTTATAAAGACAAATTCTCATTCACTTTTGCCTCTGCAGTGGAATAAACACTGAACAATATAAGTGTCATACAGAACCACAGTTATTGTGTTGCCTTTCCAGATCGGCTATGACAGAACCATAATTCAGTACCATTAAAAGTTTCTGTAGTTACAATTCCTCTCAAAAGGGCAGTATTTAGTCAAATAGTCTGGAATTTAACTAAAGCAATACAATAACAATAAAATAAAAAAGATCATATCCAAAGCCTCAGTTGATTGCCATAGTTCCAATGGTCAGCTTGTAATTTATTTAATTATTGGAAATTAGAAATTGATTAAATTTAAAGGGAAAGAGGCAGTGAAAAGGATGGCACAGCACTTCTATTGAAATACAAAATAATACTTTATATTCCTCAGCATGTTCATAACAACATTGGCTTATTTATTGTTTCTAATATAAATATACTTACATTAATAATGCATGTCAGTTGTTAAGAATTCACAACTTAAGGACTGTAAAGGGCACAATAGTAAACTATCTAGAGTAGTAACATTCATTAACACAAATTACTATTTGATATTTTACAGTCTCTGAAACAGCATGCTATATAATAATTGCATAGAATGTATTGCTAGATATTCTGAAGTTCCCCTATAACATTCTTGTAGCTGCACAGTAGGAGAGACACAATTTTTATGTGACAGCAATTTAGCATAGTCTATCAGTACACAATATTCTTCTGAGCACTTTAAACAATTGGGTTATATAATGTTTTGTGTTAATCGTTATAAAAAATTGATCTTTTCTTCACTGCCTTTGTTTCCAAGAGCATTCAGGATTTCATACCATAGCAACACATACCTGAATATTTGTTTTAACCTCCAGGTAAAATACTTAACTATCACACATTTCAATCTTACCAATGGGCAGAAACAAGCTCAGACAGATGATCCTTTAACTCAGGGGTGTCAAACTTGCAACTTTTTTTGCCATTGCCGGCAATGGGGTGGGTGTGGTTTTGCCATGACGCATCTGACCTGTGGACCAGTAGGTTGACACCCCTGCTTTAACTAGATATCCAGGCTGTAAGGCATTGCAAGGTAATGTAGACCTAACCTTGAGAATGGGGAAGAATGGGTAAGGGTGAAGTTTCAGAGATAAGTATTCAGTTCTGGAAAAAAGGAGTGAGAATAGAGCTAGAACGGACATTGGAGTTTTTCTAATCCAACCTCCTGCTCAAGCAGGAGACCCATTTCAAACAAATGGTTATCCTATCTCTTCTTAAAAACCTCCAATGATGAAGCACCCACAACTTCTGAAGGCAAGCTGTTCCACTGGTTAATTGTTTTCACTGTCAGGAAGTTTTTCTTTAATTCAAATTGCTTCTTTCTTTGATTAGTTTCCATCCATTTTTTTTGTTCTGTCCACCAAGGTTTTGGAAAATAAGTTGACCCCCCTCTTCTTTGTGGCAGCCCCTCAAATATTAATCTTTTGTTTTTCTTGCCTAAGTGTAAAACCTTGCTTTTCTCCACATCAAATTTCATTTTGTTGGATAGGGTCCATTGTTCAAGTATGCCAAGATCTTTTTGGATCCTGAGCTTGTCTTCTGGGGTGTTGGCTATTCCTGCCAGCCTAGTGTCATCTGAAAATTTGATGAGTTCCCCTCTATTCCCTCTTTTAAGTCATTTATGAATATATTGAAGAGTACTGGGTCTAAGAAGGAATCTTATGGTACCCATTGCTTACTTTCCTCCATGTAGATGTAATACCATTAAGGACTACTCGTTGAGTGTCAGCCAGTTACAAATCTATCTGGTTACTTATAAAGTAATAAAGGTAGGATAAAAGCTAATAAATAGATTAAATAAACAAATAAACCCCTGGATAAATGAATTCTTTGCTTCCTGCCACATTAAATTCTATGTTGATAATTATCATGCAACAGGAAAGGATGGAGTATTTTCCACTTCATCAGCATTTCTTTGCCGGAATTGTACATTGGTATTGGTGAGCTTCTGATCCCATATGCAAGAAAGAAAGCAGAGAGTGATTCTGTGTCCATTGCCCTTGATGAATTGCTTAGCTTAACTGTATTTACAGGAAGGAGAAATAGTTCATATAGGGAAGATATGAAGAAATGTGGATCTAGCCTTGGTATAAGAGAGGGAGAGAGAAACTCTGTTGGTTGTCAAGATTCTGTTACTCTTGAAACAATGAGGTACATTCTTGGAATCTCCACTGTGCCTGTTTTTTTTTTTTTTACTTTTACTTTTCCTGCCTCAAAGTATTAACACCGATGACATGTTTTATCAGTGACAGTTGGCATCTTGAATTGCACCTGGAAGTCAATTACTAAATAATACAGGCTGTGAAATAGTGATATTACATGGGTAAAGTGAGACATCCCCATGGTTACTGTATTTTAGACCAATTGCGATAGTCCCAACTTGGGTAACTAGGGGATATGCTTTCCAATCCAGAAACATGGCACATCAAAGTAATCCCAAAATGAAAAAGGTGAAGAGTCTATCACTCTCCTGTTGCAAACCAATTGGAATTGACTTCAGAAAAAAGAGGACAACCTCAAAAGATAAAGCAGGAGAAGGTAGGTCATACCACTCTTGGCTTGGAGTTATTCACATGTGAAATCAATGCTATCTCAGTACAATAGTAGAGTCTATAGCCTGATTAAAAAGGGTCCAGAATTCTTCACTTTATTAATGGCACCATTACAACAGGCATCATATAAATACCACACAGAGAACAGCACACACTCTGCTAGAGAGAAGTTTCCTGAAGATGGATTCCAACATGAGTCTTAAAGTTCAGAAGACAAAATCTCTGGCCCCAGTAACTGATCCAGATGGGATCCTGCATCATTAAGAGCTGTCTGGAGTTTTAGCCCTACCAATTTGTCAGCAAACCTTCCCAAAAGGAAAGGCAAGGTATAAGTAAAAAGTTTTTTTTTAGAATTGCTGATGAGTTCTCTATTTGATTGCATGTGGGGTTTAGCTTTTGTATTAAATAAAAAAAGTTACTAACTATTGTTTATCAGCAACAGTGTAATATCTATAAAACTGAGCACGTTTGAAGCACTATTGTTAAAGTAGTCTATGGTTCACATCCTCAAAACTGAAAATACTGGAAATTTGGTTATTTGCAAACTGTTAAAACCGGATAGTTATCTTTAAAAAGGCCTAGATCAGAAGGCAGATCATTGAATGAACTGTCAAGTCTACACATTTGTAGCTGTTATTTAGATTAATTTTGTTGTAAGTCACATAATTGCATGCCACTCAATATTAAGTATACAAAATTGTAGTTGATATAGAAGAAATTGTTTATAGCTGTTAAATCTGATGCCTAAATCACATTTAGCTTTAAACAACTATATGAACTAATTATGTTGCTGTACATGATATTTTCTCAGCAGGTTCAATGGAAGTGGTCAGGCTGCAGTTATGAAGGAAAGGATTGAAATAAAATTTAACTCTTTTTTCTTTTCTTTTCTTTTATATACACACATTCACAGACATACTAGGAGGAGGCTGAGGATGGATTTTATGCAAAGATGTAATACACTTAGTATTGATTTGGTAAGCATCACTGTGAATTTGTCTACACTGATAGACCAGATAACTATTATAAAATTTAGCAATCCAAAAAAGATAGAATTATTCATGGTTATTGAATCAGATCTATTTGGAATAGTTTTCTAAGCAATCTTAAATAGGACTTTTGCTCTCCATTAAAGAGCAAATTTGGGGGTATTTTTGGGCAAGCACTGATGTCCTAGGAAATGCATTAGTTAGAATACTGTATTGCAGGCTAATTCTGCTTACTGCCAGCAGTTTGATCCTGACTGGCTCAAGGTTGACTCAGCCTTTCAACTTTTACCAAAAGTAGGTAAAATGAGGATCCAGATGCTGATTCTGTAAACTGTTTAGAAAGGGTTGTAAAAAAGCACTATGAAGCAGTATATACTGTAAGTCTAAGTGCTATTGCTATTCACTACTCCTGAATATCCAGATGGCTATGACAATTGCCAGGGGCACATTTATATTTTAGGTAAGTAAACTAGTTTTATTCATGTCTAGATCTGGCCATTGATGTTTATCTTCTGTAGCTTCCACTTTATATAACAGAAATTCATTGTACATAAACATCCTTTTGACAAATATCCAGTGCATCAGAGATAGTTTACCAAAGCTCATACTCCAGAGAAAAACATTGTGCCAAATTCCAGTTGGTTTTGATTCAGAGTATGGAGATTCACAATAAAAAGACTCTACTGGCCTCAGAAATAAGATTGCCCTGACCTTGAGTTTCAGTTTATAAACATTATTCTGCCTTACTGCTAGTATTCTTGCTCTGAAGTGTTTTAATCAATTTTTTTAAAATAACTTTTATTTGATATAAGCCATAAAATGTGAATTTTCCCATAGAACAAAACAAAAGTTAAGGAATCAAAATTAGAGCAAATTTATAGAATGAAAATAGTATTTTGGGTTTTTTTTAAAATAATTAATATAATGCAAAGCCAATCTAGTCAAAATTCTTTAAATAAAATCCCTGTAGTTAGCAATGAATATTTTTCTCATGCATGCTAAGATTTAACTAGGAATCAATTTATTTAATAATTCACTAAGTTGAGCTTTAACTGAATTTCAGAAATGGACATGATCTCTTGTGGAGTCAGAAAAAACATTCTTCCAGTTGGATATAGTTTTTTCAGTAAGAATATGTGATTTACACATCCAAACTTTTAACATGGAGACACTGACTTTGACTCTATTAAGAATCTATAATTCTTCATCACATTTATATGATCATCATATTTATAAAGGAAATATCACTTTTAGCGATTAATATAATATGTGAAGGTATATTTCTTTTAAGTATGAAATCATGGCTTTTTTTCCTGTTTTAGAATTTGTGATTATACATATTGACTACATTGTGATTCTCCATCTTCATAATGATAACCTGACTATAGAAAAGACAGAAACAGTCAAAAGGTTTACTCAGTATGGTATGTACCAACCATGGATAATTGCTATGAAATATTCATTGGTATGCATGTACAAAACAGATGCAATGATCAAGGTAAGCAACTTCTGGCAACAATGGGAAACATAAATGTGAAGAATATACAGCAAGGATTATTTATAATATCTGGTTCCAGTGCGAGGCATGGGGATAGGGTTACATTTCCATTATAATCTTTATAACATTAGTTATTTGCAGTAATTTATTGCAATTCCTGAATTCATAAACGATAGTGTTCTGTTGCAACATAATTTGTATACTGGGAACTTCCAATTCATTGAAACATGTAAAGACAGAACAGTATCTTAAAATATTGTTCTATGAAACATAGTCTATGAACAGTATACATAAATGTTCTTAAAAAATCCATATTGATTACATTGGTATGCAAGAAAAAAAGCTGTGAAGCAAAAAGTGTTGTTCATTCTAAACTAATAATAATAATTTAATAACAATTAAAATCAAGAGCCATATTTAACCATTAAAAATAAGATCAATTACAATGTCACAAAACAGATACCAAGCTTTGAGCTACTCAGAGTTTTCATCTGTCTTGATGGTCTTAAAGCAGGATGTTAATTAAAATTTCCTTTCCAAAGGAGAAAAATGGACAAACTGAAGACTATTCTCAGAAAAGTGGAAGAATGATATTTCTGTAGTATGGAATGAAGCATTATAGGTGAACCAGATTGACCTGCTAATGTTAGTACGGTATTATTACTATGGAAGATGAACCAGAACACTTAAGTGGAGATGGTCTTTCCCATCTGTCATAGCAGATTGATGATGTCATGCATCCTTGCCCTTCTGAAATGGTAAGTACTTCATTTTCATGCTGGGTCAGTGGTAAGTACAGATTAGCCCTTAAAATGACTTCCCATCAATTTGCTTTCAATTGCTACTCAAGATGAGTTCTACTTATAGCTCTTCTACTCTTGTGGTCTTCTATTACTGAATTTATTTTTTAAAATGCTATTTATTTAAAAACAATCAAGAGGACCTCTATTATTTAACTTATTAAATATTAATTAATTACATGTTTCAGTTCTAAAAACACTGCAGTACATCTTCATTTCATTTTAGTTCCCCTCCCCACCCTTCTCCCAGGTAGTCCTGGGGATGAAAAAGAAAAAGAGTAAAAAGCAAACTGACAAACAACTACACTTACCATTAATACTGAAGGAAAATTTGTGGTTTAAAGTCTGCTCAGCTATTTTTGTGCTTATGAGCTCTGATTAGTAGATTAAGGCAACACAAATCAGAAGGATTTTTCATTCTTAGGCTAACCTACTCCTAAAAGAAAGGGTGGAGGGAGCCCTCAGCCATTTTAGCCACAAAAGAAACTGTTCAGTACAACACTTAGTACTACAGAACAGTGAGATAACAGTAATTTTAACAAAGAACATTTGAAAAAAAAAATAGAGAAAGGCTAATGAGAAATGCAATTTTCTTTTCTTAAAAGGATTAGCTTCAAGTATTTAATGAAGCATTTTTCTCAGATTGCTTGTCTTATGCATTCACAATATTTCTACTAAACATTTATGCATATAGGCCTGGAGACAAAGTTATTCCTAATCAACTCTACTTTGATACCAATCAAGATTTCATTTCATGCCCAATAGCAATTAAGTCATACTATAACAGTAAGGAAGGATAAAGTAAACAGAAAATATAAAAATATACTTTGATCCAAGTTACCCAATTGTCTGTGTGATTTCTTTGAGAAAGCAATGAAGATGCTAACAAATCTGGTTTATTCTTGTTAGTACATACCATTGTGTAATCCAGTTTGACACATTACATTATTAAATTCCATAGAAGATTGGCAGATTACACATCACATTGGTTGTTGGCAGTTGATAGTTTTTTATCTTAGTTTGAGTTTAGCTTATATTTTCCTCTAGTTCTGCACAGATATTATTAGGGCTTTAATAATATCCCTAAATATGCAGGAATTAATGAGTGAATGAATGAATGTTTCTGTACACATGTATATACACTAAATATTTAGCACAGGATTCTTCAAAAACTAAAAACAATCTAATCTCAAGATAAAAAAATATATTATTCTAACACATATTTTTACACAGAAGAATTCTGATGTTATAGTACATTTGAATGTGTTAATCCCACTTTTATCCCTCTTTTCTTCAAGGAACTAGTGGTTAATGAAAGACATACATATTCTGTGATGTGAGTTTGGTTGAGAGTTAATAATGGCTTCAAAATACCTATAAATTCTTAGATCAAATGAAGACTATAGCTGAGATTCCTCAACTATTGTAACCCCTTTTGGAACTCTTGAAGCCAGCACATGAGACAGGAAAAATGTTATTTTATTATTATGTCTATAATGTTGCTAAAGACAATTTTTACAGTAATGTGCTTAAAATATATTTCAGTGCTATTACTGGTCTTCTTTTCATATACTTTTGATAATCCTTGCTGTTTATTTGTCCACCTGCCTCTTTTGACACATCTAATAAATGTCATATTCTGTTGTCTCTTGGTTGGATAAAATATTTTAAAAACAAGGACAAGATTGACTAAGGTCAGTAAAAATAAATAGCTTATCTGAACTTGGCATCTTCTTTTAGCTCATACATTTGCCTTGTCAAAGATATCAGCAATGTTCCATTTTCTGAATCACCATTCAGAATGGCTAAGGATTTAAATGTCATACTTCATTACTATTTGATGCGATAAGGGTTTCACAGTAAAGACCATCATGGCTGCAATCACTGCTTATGCAATTTTCTCCTAGAAATGTATTAATTTTGTTTCTAAAACTATCTAATATCACAAAGTTATTTTCCTTGCAGCTATACAGAGCTTATTGCATTAAAAAGTTCATTTAGAAATGTTTTTTTTTTATTTCTTGTGATAGGTTACATTTAAATTCTATTTAAATCCCCCAAAGCTTGATAACTTTTTTCTTAAAAGTATAAGAATTAGAAACTGCACACTCAGTACTTTGTGCTACCAAGCTGGCAAATTATTACTGACACTTAATAAAAGCAAAGAATACTGATCATTAGCAAAGGCTGTGCTAGTTACAGCAACTGATACTAAAGTTCTTCTATACTGCTGATGGCAAAGTCATCATTGTTAAATGCAGCCTACCTTTAAAAGTGGAATAAATGACAGATTTAGTTGAACAGGTAATGAGACATAGTTTGCTTAAATATATAATCCTACTATGGAGATATTGCATTCAGTAATTGTAGAACCAATAAACATGTTGTACTAGGAGAAAAAGGATTGTCTTATATTAATGTAGGGGACAAGGAAGCAGTTTATCAAAGGAAAGCTTATGAAATGCATTTGGATATGACTTGAAGTCAGTTGGGGTATTCATTGTGGGTCAGTCTAATGGTGAGATTAAACCTGCATCCAGGTTGTTCCACAAACTAAATACAAACCATGATTTTTGATTTATAGTTATTGTTGTTTTCAATAATTAAATAATCAATAGATTATATATGTACATTACTTTGCATATCAGTGCACAAGTTATAGTTATTGTTATTATTAAAATAGTAGTGAATGACCAAATGTTTAGCCAAAATCCCTAATTGCACTTAATACTTTCAAAAAGGACATGACAAGATTCACTATGATAAGTAAAATGTATGTTCTGTCATGAAATTCTACTTAGTGACAGGAATCAAATCAAAGTGTATCTTCTTTCACAATCAGATATAAGCATATAAATTTTCTTTGTATGCTTAAAAATTTGCATTTTAGTAAAATATTATATTTTGCCAAAGTACAGCAAAACCTCCATAGTTGACCACTTGCTTACATTGACCACCTCCCTAAGTTGACCTAATTTTCTTTTTTTTATTAAAAGTTTTACAAATTTATTACAATATAACCCCCCCCACCCCTTCCCCCCTTCCCCCACTTCCCAGAGCTGATTACAGGGTAACAAATAAACAAACATAATCTAACTAATATAAACCAACTATACTATCAATCAAAACCATAACACACTTTAACTCCTCAAAATAAATATTAACAAATTAAAACAAAAATAATAATATAATTAAAACTATTAATAATTATCTAAAATCTACTCAAAAGCAAGGTAATACTTTTCAGTTTCATATTTCTTTTGAATATAATCAATCCATCTTCTCCAAAGCATAATGTATCTTTCTTGTGAATGGTCCTTCAAGTAGGCGGAGATTTTCACCATTTCTGCTAAATTAGACACCTTAAGTATCCATTCTTCCAAAGCATGCAGTGGGTTTTTCTTCCAATACTGCCCCATCAATAATCTTGCAGCTGTTATAAGATTCAACATCAAATTGATTTCTTTAACATCAAAATCTACAATAATACCCAACAAAATTAATTGCAGAGTAAACTTTATCTTTCTCTTAAAAATCTTTTGAATATTCCACCAAATCTTAATCCAAAAGGCTTTAATATCTCTACAGGTCCACCAGATATGAAAATAAGTTTCATCTAAATTTACACATCTCCAACATTTGGGCTGTAAATTTGGATACATGCGAGACAACTTTTGGGGATCCAAATGCCATCTGACCTAATTTTCGTACACCAGACATACACTATATATACACAATAGAAAGCCAATCACTCTGTAATGACCACTCTGTAAGTTGTATCATGACCACCTGGACCTTGACACATAGTATTAATTTACTATTTATAACTTTGACCAGTTGAGTCCAGTCTGCACCAAAGGCAAGAAAAGTGAAATGCAGAATTGGTAGCAATGAATTTCTTTCAAAAAGAACATCAAAGAATACAATATTTTTTACTTTGATTCAGCAGTAAAGATGATGACTTCTTTAATGCTGATGAGTGTTGACTCTTTTCCAAGGCGATGCCTGACAGGAGCCTTGTTATAAGGGGTGACAAATGTAAGAGTAGAAAACTTTCTAAATAATGTTTCACAGTGTGCTAGCTTAACTGGAAAGAAGCTAAAAACTTTCATGATGAGTAAATCGGCAAAACCACACTCATTCAAGAACCTGCAGCCCAAAGATCTTCCTGTCACCTGGAAATCTAACAAATCTGCATGGATGACTGGTGCCCTGTTTGAGGAGTGGATAAGAGATATAGACCGAAAAACAAAGAAGTAGAAACAGTCCATTCTCCTTGTAATGGTCAATTGTCCTAGCCATCCCCAAGTAAATCATCTTACAAATGTGAAACTAAATTGTTTGCCTCCAAATACTATATTAAAAATTCAACCTTTTACCAAGGCATAATCAAAACATTCAAAATACACTACTGAGCCCAGCTTCTGCAGTGGGTCATTGCTAAAACACAAACCTATGGTCCATCTGCAGAAGCAAAACCCTAACCCTGACCCAGAATTAATTTTCCAATCAGTATTGACCAAGGTACAACCCAGCAGAAAATTCTGGAAGCAACTGATGAAGCAGAAGAATTAAGTGAGGAGGACACAGAAATTGCAGATAATCATTTGCAATGGAAAAATGCCCAGGTATGCTAAATGGTACGGCCAGCCTGGTGAGTCCTTTCTCCGCTTACTGCCATAAAAAGAATAAGAAACAGACTAAAATTGACTCTTATTTTCAGAAAGAAAGGTCAAACCATGAGAAAAGAATACATACTTAAATGTATTGATTTTGTATGATACAGTATTGTATGATTTTCCTGTATTCTCATTATGTATGTTTTTGTAAGACATTCTCTAATAAAACTTGTACAATAAAATGAGGTACATGTACATATCTGTCAGTGGTGGGATTCAGCCAGTTCATACCACTTCAGCAGAACCGGTAGCTAGTTTTTTGTTGCCCAGGCCCAGAATGGACTTCCGGAAGTAGC